CCAAATCCAGATGATCTTTTTACCGTAACTCAGCTCATGGATTTCAAGGTGAAGCAGGTTTATCATTGATAATCTGTTGTACATTGTTGCTCATGGCCGTTTTATTTAAAAAATGAGAAAGGAATGCTGTGCTAGCTTTTGCCAAGTACTAAGTAACATTTAAGAGGGCGTCGCTGTAACATACCAGTACATCTGGTGCAATTGTTCATCGGATCGCAACTTTGCAAAGAGATTTTTTTAGAGACGCGTTCCGTTTTCATGCATTCCTTCGTTCTTTTTGTATTCGATTCGCAATCATTGCAGAAAGATGCGAGAAAACGACTCTAACCCAGGGGATGAGAATATCTGCCTAAGCTGAGAGGAGCTCAGAAGTGGGTAAACCATCTACCCGCGTATAATAAAAGTAGTGGTCGCTATAGTACCACCCCCATTTATAATCTGAAGAGTCGTTACCTCTGGTGTTGTGCTTCCCAGTTGATTCTTTCGGTGTGTTTTGTTCTCCTGGTCGAAGGACTAGAGATACTGCCATAGAGCACACGGTCTATATATGATCGAGCAAAGTATACTCGTTGATTTCTGACGATTTTTAAGTTTCCCCTTCGGAGCCAGAATTGCTGGGAGTTATCAGAATTGCTAGGAACACTGTTTTATAAGATAAGCTCTTCGAAGTGATTGAACAATCAGCTCCACCAAATTTTCAGGTGTTGCGAAAACTGGCTGGAGCCCGAAATGTGAGGATGTTCAGCGAGGTGAGCGACGCTTATTCTCGGCACTAGCACGAACACGTTCTGAGCGGCTTACAAATGATGTGAAAAAATATGACGTGGAAAATCTTCCAAAAAGTAATAGTTGTACAGTCACTGAAAAGGTAATTATTGTACAGTCCTGAACAAGCGAACCGACGGGCGTGTCAGAGAAACGTGAATTTTGGCGCGGCGCCAGCTTGTTTCCCAACAGTCGCTGTCGGATGAGGCGAGGCGTGATTGGTGGAAAATGAGCTGGCGTCGTTCCAAAATCCACGTCACATGACACGTCCCATGGATTCGAATGTTGACGACTAAATTCTGTTGATTGAATTAGTTTGAACTACTATGAGGCTCATAGGATGATCCAACGTTGAGTTCGAAACAAGGCGTTCTGTCGAAAGTGGGAGGACTAGGTGCCAATTACTGGATGTGGATTCATCAGCCCTATGAAGGAACTTTGAGGTATATCTTCGCAGCCTTTCTTGGTTGTGTGCGTTACGGTCCTACATAATTTGATGTGAGAGAAACTGAAATTTTAATGTGCGAATGTGAAATTTATAATGCAAGGGGAATGAGGAAACGTGGGAAAAAATCCACCGACAGTGTCCTTGGTGCATTGATCAAAGGGAGCTTAGATGATCGAGAAAACGTATGAATATCATCGCATTTTGGCTTCATAGGGGCAATGTGCTGGTTCCCATCGATTACTGCTGATGCCTCCATGAGGACTAGTGAATTCCTGTAAAGTTATGCAATAGCAGGGGCTGGTTAACTTAGATCAGAGAATTCAGGAAGTAGCAAAAGAAGCGTGCGAAAATGCGAAATACCCCCTCCCCAAGCCGAACGGGAGACGGACAAGAGAATCGTAATTTGCCGCCGTCGCGCGCGGCGATGGGCGCGACGTTTTCTTAACTCGTGTTAACCTGTCGATTGGAGCACCGGACTTCATGTAGACCCCGTCATCGTAGACATTCATGACTATTTTCGGTTCTGAATTGCCTGTTGTCGCCATCTACTACCTGGAACCATCGTCATTTGTGGGCGCGACGTCGCACGCGACGCCCGCCAGCGCGGTAAATTGCGATTCTCTTTTCACATACCCAAGCCGAACAGCGCCTAAAGATCTGAACGAATAGCAAAATGATCACCGTTCTCATTACAGATTGTTCGATTCGGATTTCTTGGAGTCGCTGACGCGAACAGCGTGGTGGGTCGTCCCTGCTGTATGGCTACCAGTTGTAGCACTATTCAGCTTGGTTGCCATGGCGGATATGTACGCTCGTTGGGGTAGGTTCTCTTTTCAGCAAAATTTCTGATAAAAGGAATCAGTGTGGCGCTAATTCTGTGTAAGGCTGTGGTTGAGAGCGATACGTGGTAGGACATGCCGCGACTTCTAATGAAATATCAGTGACAAGAAAATCGCGTATTTCAGTATCCACCTTTTCGACGCTATTCTTGCTTTTTGCTCTGCTTTTCTACAATGTTGGAAATTGCTGCCGGAGGATAAGTATGCTTGCCTTCGTACGGAAAGAAAGGAGCTTCGGTGTGGGCGAACAAATCCCTACGAAAAGCGTTGCTTCGGAGTCTCCTTCGCTACCCATGTCAATATAGTGCATATAATAAGACATAGTCTCTTTATACGTAATAGGATTAATTTATTGGATGCGGATGGGCGCTCAAAGGCACCTCTTACGCTCACTTTCTAGAATCCTTACCCTAGCCTTTGCGAGGTGAACAGTTCCGCTGCTGTAAAAGAGCGCCACTTTTTTCACTCGAAAGTGCACCGAATTGAGGCTGAGGGGTAGTGGTAGCCAATTGCCATTTCGGACTTTACATACAGGCAGGCGTGCGGTTCGAGGTCTGACTAAAGCTGAACGCGCTGCTTATCTGCACCCTCTCACTTTCGAATGTATTCTAGACCTGGCCGCGACGGCTAATGCCGTTTGGACTCCAGCAATTTCGGCACCGAGCTCATTTTTAATTGCCTAAGGTCACCAAACCCGCTGAAAACATGACAATTATGACACTCATTCTTGGCGCTGGCGCCAAGGATGACACTACGATTACCCTTGGGCTCAGCCTTAGCGGAGCGCAGATAATCGTAGTGTCATCCATTAGCGCCAGCGGCAAGAGTGAATGTCATATTCGTAATCAGGATGTTAAACTACCCCTACATACAAGTTTTTAGCGGATTTGGTGACTTAGGCAATTTAAAAATGAGCTCGGTGCCGAAATTGCTGGAGTCCAAACGGCATTAGCCGCGACAGGTACTTTTACACTCATGTTATTTGCTGCGGGACCTCTCCATCGACATACATACCGCTCGTTGCGGATAACGGGATGAGTCCGGAACATATATCACAGCCTCCACAAGACAATCGTAACTTATGGCCTCGTCGCGCGCGGCGTGCAGGCTCCATGACGGCCGATTGAATTTCTTCTTCCTTTTGACCCCACAATTTAAAGACAGCCCCCGCGCTCGAGTAGTACATGGTCGTCCTTCCTTGTGCAAGTAGTACAGCCCCCAAGCTAGAGACTATCCCACTCTCGCGACTCCACAGCGAGGAGCGAGCTAGCCGCTGAAAGTTCTAGTTCTAAC